AAGGCTGCAGCCACACGGAGACGATACGGGTCGTATCCGCTACAGTTCTCTATCATAGACGGTTCGGCCACACGAGGCCGACAGGGAAACGCAGATAACGATAACGGGTCCGAAGGTGGGTATAGATCTGCAGACGCAACGCTCTGGGGGGCCAAACGGCTCCGTGATTACGCCCTATATGATAATTTCGTGGTAACGAAAATACTGACGGTCAGGAGAGGGGGAGGAAAAGAGAGGCTCTTTGTATTATTCTTATTATCATATAGAGTCGTTATTCATTTGTTTTAAAGCTCAATAAANTGTTTGTGGGTGGGTGCTGGTGGACTAACCGGAGAGATTTACAGCAGGAGAACACGCTTGCATCGGGGAGGGAGAAAAAGAGCCAGAGACCTGCCTCTCCCCACCTCTGCTGCTAAATCCACCGCGGAGAATAAAAAGAAGGGCAACCATGCATGCTCGGGAAGTCTTCTTCGCTGGTTTTGGTGTATTTTGTGGCGGAAGTACAGCGCCATTTACAGGCCTGGCATATGTACTACAGCGTCTCCAGCGGGTCGAGCGGCCTCGTGTGGAAGGACCGCGAAGGACACGTTTCTGGTGCCTATTGCGTGTGGATCATGGTGTGGATGGAAGACTTTTTTGATATCGTATTCGGTTAGTTTTCATTTTCGTTTCCGTGTGGCTAGGGCCTAAGTGTTGTCAAATACTAATGCCCTAGTCTTATTATAGTTATTTTAATTCCAGTAATACCAATAAAAAAAAGAATAGACAGTCTTTAAAGTACTAACCCTCTTCAATTTACAGTGTGCTATAAATCATCAATGTTCCGCTTTGAAAGTTAAAATGAATGATTTTATTTTACTTTTTGGGTCCGTACTCTATGGATCTGAAAAATGTATTCAAAAAAGTTAAAACTCTACCTTTAGAGAGAGACAATTAAATACCAAACATTTTCCAAAATGTTAATCGTTGTATGTCCAATAACTTTCTGACGCGATCTTACCACCATCCACTACTTGTGTGAACATTTTGTGAATAGCACAGTTCATTACAGCATGGTGTAAAACTATGGTGAAATGTCTCAAGGTGTCAACAGCGGTAATTCAAGTTTAAAAGTCTAAAAAATGCTACAACTACTGTCACAAACTGGATGAATTTGAAGTATTTTGTTAAAGGACGATGAAAGCGTAATTAAGGAGCACTATTGGAGTGACTTTGATGGTTATTGGACTCAGGATTCATTCATTTGGATTCCCGCTGTATGAAGAAATTAAAGGACGGCGCAAGTGGAAACAATTCACAAAGGGATTAAACTGCCGATGTGTTTATGTGGATTTAAAAATCGTAAATAATCTACAAAATGAAGGAGACCGATCTGATCGGAGCAACTGTGACAAATAATCCAACTGAAACCGGCATGGACAATGACTATGTTTTAAAAATGCGCTTATCCAGACAAGCCTGGTTTGGACACTTTACGGGCAGAAGAAACATTTCTTTTAAAGAAAGAATTATATATTTCTTTCTTTTTATGCCTTTAACACTAACTTGAATTTTTATTAAAATCGTTTCATGAATGATTTTTATATTTTATTGTAATGTAGAGACCATGCTAGAGACAAGGCTTTTAGTGACAATCATGTATTGCCTTACAAATTACAATTATATGTAAAAATGATATTTGGCGCGCCCCCCTGGTTGGGAACCACTGATCTAGACTCTATCATCATACTTTGATTTATGATCAAATACCAGCTAAACCAATGGCATCATATTCCCATCAGCCTCATCTTCTCTGTGTTTAATGCTAATAAGCTAATGTTAGCATGCTGACAAACTCAACTAAGATGTGAACATGGTGTCAGCTGATCATCGGCATGTTAATATTGTTGTTATCACAAACTAACGTGTTGATGTTAGCATTTAGCGCACCACAAGTATAGCCTGAAAGATTACTGCTACTGTTTTCACTCAATTACTATAAAAAGTCGCCTTTAATA